ATGATGAGCTTTGGTTTCTGATATTGCATTTGTCCTCAAACTGTCTGTCCGTCTCATCCGACGGACATTTCAATACATATAATGATTATAATTAATGGACACTAAAAATGTACAAAAATTGAGTTTTTCAACGCATTTTACAAAATCAATATTCAATTTACAATTTAACCGATCATTGATTGACAATACGATTGAGGGCTTTATATATCCCTCACATGCATAGGGTATACGCGAAAACTACCGGTACTTTAATTTACAAAAACATAATTAAATACAAATAAGAAAATACATAAAGATTACAAAATTGGGACATTATTTTGAGTATAAATAACAGCATTTGATTGACTCAATAGTTTGGTAATTCTGAGCATTCAATTCAATCGCTTCTTTCATTTCTATCATTATATAAAATCTTTTTGTATTTGGTTTCTAACAAATTGTTAATTAAATCATAATTAAACGCAAAGTCAACGCTCTTTGATATCAATGATTATCGATAGACATGAAGAAGAATAAGATGTGAAATAGCTTTCATACAAATCGCGCTATCATTTGGAGAACAACACTGTTTTCTTCACTAAAAAACAATTTAAACATCAAATACAAATGTATAGCAAATGAAGAAAAAATTCTTGTTTTGTTTATAAAAAAACAGCAAAAAAGTTGGCAAAAGTGTTGTGTAAATTGTGTGTAAAATCTATCGCTCACTCCTATACTAATCAATGGATTCATTCATTGGAAATCAGAAAATCTGTTTTTTCTTGTCTTAAAGTTTTCAAAAAACATAAAAATCATTCAAATATAAAATGAATGGAAATGAAAATCAGAGATCAAGAGTTACCACAATATATGTCATAAACGAGAGAAACAGAGAGACAATTATCGTATTGTGTGTATAAAATTTCAAAAAACATAAAAATCATTCAAATATAAAATGAATGGAAATGAAAATCAGAGATCAAGAGTTACCACAATATATGTCATAAACGAGAGAAACACTCTCTGTTAATAGCATAACACACATATTTTTTGTTCTAATGTTAACATAAGTGTCTCTTTTGTTACTTTTTTGTTGTTTTTTGTTAGCTAACAACTCTTTTCTACAGTGTTTAATAGACGTTTTTTCTCTTTGTCACCACATTTTCAGCCGCTTTGAAAAGCGATGACGAGTTATGTCTGCGATATAACCATAAGATAAGTGTCTGTACTGTACTGTTCACTGTCTTGTGGAGTACACTATACACTGTACACACTGTGACTGTCATTATGTGTGGCATATTTCCATACGAGAAGTGACAGCACAGGGCTCTGGAGCTCTGGTATGGGGTTGTCATTAGAACTTAGTTGCCTGAGTGGCCCTCAGCATTAGGTCTGTGTCCGCCTATAATCAGAGAGAGATAGGGAGGAGAGAGACAGAGAAAGAGAGACAAAGAGAGAGGAGAGAGTGATAGGAGAGAGAAAGGAAAAGAGAGAAAGATAGCAAAGAGATAGTAAAATACATCTCAAATACAAATATGCAAAATAGTATGAGAAGTAAAAAATGAAATCAAATCATGTATTCATAAAACTGTTGGCAAAGAAGTGATGGAAAACTAATGATTATAATTATATATCAATTATAACGTGAGAGCAGAGGAGACACACGCAAGACATACAGACAATTCAATGGCCAAATAATTTGTGGGGACTTTTGCTTGTGTTTTGTGGGAATAAACAAAAAAATAATGAAAAAATAGTTGTGTTTTTGGCTGTACTTTGAATCGTGGAATCAATCATAAGAAACATATAATTATAGGAAACAAATCATTTAAAATAAATATAAATCTGGTTTTTTGGGCTAAAATTATGACAAATACATAATCATTAATATAAACAACAAATAAACGCATAAATAATTATCAAATAATAATCAAATCAATTGAATGAATGGTTTTCAATGAGTGTGTGATTTGTTTTGGATATAAAAAATGGTAGACATGAGAAGAATGGCATTCAAATGAGTGGCAAATTATCTGCGATTAATACTACTCACAACATAGTGAGGACCGATGGCCTGATGGCTGTGTTGGTGGCCGGGATGGCCGCCCAACTGGCTGTGCATCATCTGCGGGTGTCCGGGATGGCCACCCATTTGCTGCTGCGGGTGATGACCGCCCATTTGGTGGCCAACCATTTGCTGGTGAGCCGACAGTTGATTGTGATGGACCTGTTCGTATGCGGGCGGAGGGCTTAAGAACGACAGCTGATCGTCGCGACCGATGGAACGCCCGTTGGCCGGAGGGGTCGACGTCGGGGGCGGGAAATGAGGTGTCTGTGGGGGTGTGTGACTGAATCTGAAACAAAATACCAATTAATTAATTGCAAATCCAAACGCAAACAACAACTCAAAGCCAAACCTCGGTCTCATACTATTGGCGCTGCCATACGAGTCGCGGATACGCTTGGAATTGGCCGACGAAGTGGTCGACGTGGAAGACGCGGGCGGGAGGAACGGATCCGTCTCTTCGGTGTGTTCGGCGCTCAACGGCCTCTTCTTCCTGATATTGATCCACGTGTGCGAAGCGCACAACACTAAGAGCGTAAAGCATAGGCCGGCGGCCGACGACGACATCAGCATCAGAACGACTCCCTCGAGAACCTCTTTGCAGGAGGCGGTCATCATTGCGATGTAATCGGCGTTAAAGCGCTTGCAGTCCAACGCCTGCAACAGACTGTCGAACCGCTCCTTTATTCGGGTCGAGTCGGCGCTCATTGTCTTCAACTTATCGGTGATCTCACGGCCGCTGCACTTCTGGCGACACATACGCGACAACTCCTGGTTGTGCCGATTGATCCATTCGAGTATATGTGCCGTCTCTTCGGTCTGCTTCGCGAACGGACTGTTGGTATTACAGCCCACGTAATAGTCGAACACCGACTCCTCGATGGCGTTATTCAACTGTTGGCTAATGAATGGCTGCGGATCCACACAGAAGTCACTGCCGGCCACCGAAATGCCCAAATAGACCGACGTTATGACCCAACACACCACGAGTGACAACAGACCCAACACTGNAAATATATTATTAGTATTTATATTGATTTAATTGCGTACAGAATATTCTGTGCGTACGCTAACAGTCTATTGTGAAACAGTGTTCACTATAATTATCGCTAAAAGGTATTCATTATTGCGAAATATCATAACAAACGCATATAAATGAGCTGATAATCGGCCAAAAAACAATTAATAAGTAATTTCAATGCATTTCATTATATGACTATTTTATGAGGGAATTAATTTGTGTGTGATTTTGATAACTATTAATATGTTTGATATATTTATAAATATAAAGTGATAGATTAAAAAGGAGGCACTGTTTTGGCATTATATCAAATATTCTTCTCTCTCTCTCTCTCTCTCTCTCTCTCTCTCTCTCTCATCCTTTTTCCCATACAAATACATACTATACTCATAAACCCATTCAAAAGCAATATTTTTAAAAATATAATTAAAAATGGATTACAATTTATCTAATAAACCATTTATACACTACTATAGGAGGATTACACTATCCGTTCACTATAACGGGAGTACACAATATTCATCTCTATAATAGCTGGCAATGAATAGCCCAATACAGGCAATACAGTGAATACAGTCGACTCTCTGTCACTGCCTGTGAACTGAGAGGCAGAGCCACTCCCTATCCGTTCAATGCATACAGAGTTCACAGACATTACAATCACATCAATAACAGAACACCAATGAGTGAGTGAACAGTGAGTACAGTAAGCATAGAGTGAGGCATACAGTGAGTGGATTGTATGGACACAACACTGGTATTAAAGGCCAGCAAAAGGCTGTCTAACAGTAGAGTGAGTGCGAGTGAGAGGCAGAGAGTAGTAGTGTTTGGCTTACAATCGTTTGGTTAAGACCTGTCATCCGGACATCACATTCGCCACACAGTGTTGACCATCGCTGACACACCCGACACAACACGAGCATCGCTTCCACACCAGTATGTGGTCATCGGTGGCCGATATAACACATTGTGTGCTCTTTTGCCGCACTTTCAACCCATTGTTGCACACTAATCACAAACACAACACAAAATAAACAACACGTTTTGTATTTGTTGTTAGTTGAGAACCTAAGCGAAACCTACAGACAGACAGTGGCGGCTACTCTGTATCGCATTCTGTATGGTGCCAAAACAATGTCTTGAATGCCGGACCAGTTTATCCGTTGATTTGATTGTTGACCACTAAAACCTGTGATACGCGTGAAGACCAGTGGGTCTTAAGACAGGCGCTTAAGACGTGAATCACTGATTCAAAAACACTAATTGATAATACAATACAGGATTAAAGTGACCACCAATTGGTGATAACATACCTCTTGAGTGAAGTGAAGCGCCAAAGAGCACAAAACCAAACAAAGTATGGATCAGATAAAAGTAAACGTAGACGAGATAATCACTGATCTCGTGGACAAACGTGAAGACCTGATGTGCATAGACAAGTTGAGCTGGGAGAACATGCTGTTGATGTTGTAGAGCCACAAGCGGTTTACCAACGTGAGTAACGGTGTGTAACTGTAAGCCGAGTTAATGGACTTCTTGTGGTGTAAGTTGGGGTTCGACAACCAATATCTGGAATCGTTGGGCATTTTGGTGGCGATTCCGGGCTTTTGGCTGATCCTAACGCTCTTATTCTTCTTGATCTTCTTTCTGTGCCGCTGTTGTGACGCCCAGAACAAGAAGAAGCGCAAACTGACGGCCTGTAAGTGCTGTCTATTCATGTTTGCCGTACTGTCATCGGTGGTGATACTGGTGGGCGTATTCGGCAGTCTTGTGGCCCATCAGGGCGTACAACAGGTCTACAATCGGACGGCAGACATGTCGCGCGCGTTGCAATCGGTGCACAACGACACGGCGGCCATCACTGCGCTGCTGAAGAACCACTACGACAAGAATTACGACGATTTGAAGAATCTGTTTGACAGCCGATTGGTTGACGACATTACGATCAAGACTACGGCGGCGAAGACTATAGTGAGCGGTAAGCGTAATGTGTCTAAAGCCGAGCACTACTTGGAGGAGATCCAGACACGGCTGGAGAAGTTGAACATCTCATCGATACCGCAACACATCCGCCAATTGGAGACGATTCGATGGCCGGCGACGTTCGGGGTGTTGGGCTCACTGGCGCTCATATGCCTAATACTCATTTGGGGAATACTCCGCCACTCGCGGTGTCTAC